TATTAGTGAAGACGCACGCACTTTACTCTGGTAATTCAGGTGAGTACTTGGAACAGACAAACACTGTTGTCCCACCCACGAGAGTTCCTACAATGTGTTTGAAATCATTTACAAATGAAACCGCGCCCACTAATCCTGCTATGGACCACTGTTTCAGCTAGTCTTAGAAGTAGTCACGTGTGCACGCCGTGACCCAAGTTGTTGTCGACTTGACAAATAATCGGAAACATTTTGTCACTGGAAAGGAGGTAATTCCGGAAGCATTGTTGAAGGAAGAAAATTGCTCCAAAGTGTATGCTAACTATGCATGTGCAATGCTCGTTGGCAGATCATAATGGGGCCGTACTGTTACTTGGTATTTCAAGCTTATCAATCACTTGGAAGTGAAGTGTAAATATCATATTGAAACGCAGGATTGACTTGCATCTTACGACCTTAACATAACCGCAGGTCCATGGGTCCTGTAGCGGTATGTGATTACCCAAATGGCCCACAGGTGTGGAGACGAACGAACACTCACTAATGCCGTGTCACCGCCACACATACGACCCTCCTCTTTGGAACAATGACTACAGATCCACTGATGGTCTTACCTACCAAACGACCTTGACTTTTGTATACATTGCGCCGACGACATCAGCAATACGTAGCTAGGCTATTCACCTAATTGTACGGCCAAATGAAAAACACAGCACGAGAAATTGGTAGCTCTAAAGGTTTTAAAACACTATTTGGGAAGACGTCATAGCTTTACCTCCTCTATCCAAATAAATGCATTATTTCTGATTACCTCAAACTGCCTTAATAATCACACGTATAACGTAAACGAAATCGCACACCTATGCATTCTCCAGATTGCTCGCAGTGGCACGATTACAATATGCATATCATACCAAGGCATTAGAAGTTTCAGTCGCGAAGCTGGTCGAGCCCCTATCGCTAGACGTTCAGAGATGCTTTGATGAATATTAAGCCCGGATTATTTGGAAGTGGAATATTGTTATCAAAATTAAGTTGTCAACAGCTATACAAACTGCACGAACTAGTGCCCAATAGCTCACCTACATTTGTCTTCAAAGGATATTGACGCGGTCGTCTCTGATGTTTGCGCCTATACTAAATGAACTGGTGCAAGGCGTTGTCACCAAAACAGTGCCGATTGCGTCAACATTCATCATGCACCACATACCCACTTTGGAAATAAACTAGTTTGAACAAATCTACCGGTGCTGGTGCACGGATTAGTTTTCTCTATGTGGATATGAATAATGCTTTGTATCTTCAGGATTATACACAGTTTATCAGAGGCTATAGAGCTGTGGAAGCGCAGATCTCGTACCTGGATTACCTGGCAACATTCTTGATCAAAGTGGGTTGCACTTGCGTGTTTAAACCTCCAATTCTGTTTGTTTTGAAGTGGCATATGATGTTTAATTTAACTTTGTGCCTTGGTCGCGACAATCCAACAGAGTTGTCGTTACAGGCATTGTGCCATCGAAGTATCTGCTTTTCGCTGATGGGATCAAGATAAGGTGAAGGAACAGTTGTCATGACATTGTGACATCGCCCGAAGTTACCCGCATAGTGTCTCTTGAGTGGTCCAAGAAGATTCTACTAAAGTTCAGCACGGCTAAATTGCAGCCCGCTCGAACACGTCACCGGACTGCGGGCATACAATCCTTAGGGGCTAAATCCTATGTAAAGTATCCAATTATCTCGTTGGGTTATCCTTTAAAGATGCAGTCGGTCACTTGAATCAACTCAAGAAGGCGTCGATTAACCGACAGTCTAGAAATTGGTCTTTATGGAAGCGTTAGTTCGAGCCTATCAAGTTGAATTTACAAGAATGTTCTATGCTTTCGTGCGACTCCACCCAGAACACGCTATACAGGCATTGAACGTGCGGTTGACATACAGTTTCGCTGCACATACAGAATCAGAGACAACCGTGCTCGTCCCCTGGGGCCCCCATTGACTTAATCAACTAGATGTAATTAGAAAGGAACTTAGTTGGTGGTATCCGATGCCCTAATTGCCTGACACTGTGGTCTCCAAGAAGACAGCCACAGGACGCCTGCTACTAAAGATGGATCATGGTTGTCTTGCACTGCACGTACCCATGTCCAGTGCAAACCCGATGAAAAAAGACAGGGAGTCATGTGGATTGGAGCTACGAGTTAGTAGCGGTGTCGGCTCACACTCCTTCAAAATGCACCACAACAGCGTTCTTGTTTATCTAAATTGGCAGTCATGCGTACCAGACGAAGACATGGCAGTGGCTTGGCCGTAGTTCGCTCCACACTGGATGGAACCACCCTTTGAGGGTAGCATGTTCACGAGATTTGTGCACCAGCATTCAGCAACGATTCACAGCCTCCTGAAGCCAGCAATCGCGGTGGAGTGTCGGTGGGTTGTAACTTGTTAACATACACATCATGCTCAACCACCCCGGGGAAAACAAACAAAATGCATAGAATTTGTTTCAAAGCAAACACGTAAAATGGACACAGAAGAAGCAGCAAAATGACGGAACTGAAGAAATCAAACAGATTAAGTAGACAAGGTTTAAGTGTAAGTCGGTTAAGCCCCATTGCCATGAGGAAGCATTATGCATGCAGTCATCAATCACTCACAAGGAATATACTGTGGCAATTGTTGCTTTATTATTGTAGTTGTTATTGTTTTATGGAAACCCGAGCACACGCAATAGCTACTACGGGTACTTATTCACAAACGTTTGCAAGATGATCAGTCATTTACACCACCTGATGTGTCGTTGAGGATACTCATCCGTTCTAACGTGCCATCAGTGAAATCTGCAATTTGCTATTGTTTTCATCACGCATCCGTGTTCAAGGATTATTCGCGAGAGCTATGCACAACACAGCAACATGGAACACTTCAACTTTCTTTCAAGTGTATTTCTGCGGGTTCAGTAAGAACTTATCGGAGAGTTCATGAATATATTCCTAATGATATTGACACACTGTTTCATTTGCCATTCTTATCCAAGCAAGCAAAGCGAACGGATGAATGTTACATAATTCTCCGTCGTTTGCCATTTTTGTTTGTCCTGTACTTTGAAACCAATAAATTAGTGCGAAATCAGCTAATGATTATGACATGTAAAACCAAGAAACATTAGTGTAAACAAGTTTAATTTACCTATTTACAGCAGCTTAGTTCGAAATTTAGGATCCAACCTTACGACCATATAACGCTAGTATATAAAAGCAGCGTACCGATTAGAATTTGAGGAAATGCTTGACCCTGTATGACTATGTGTACGAAGCGAAGTGCTCTTTTCACAATTTTTAAGTTGCTGTTATACCTCTGATTAATAAAATTCGCAGATAATTGTGCGCTTAAATTTTGTTAAATTATTATTACATGTTGACGTATAGCATATGTTTGCGTATCCCGACACCTATCATACAATATGTACCTAACGATCTAAGATTCAGTTAATAAGGATGTGTTTATAGTATGCTACCTTTACTCTTACTGGATTATTGATTGTCACATGTTCCTTTCGTTAAGAAACGCAATTACGCTGGTTGCACACAATGACAATAACTTGTATTTCCACCCAATTTCCATTAACGGCTAGGCAAACTCCTCCATTTGACCTACGTGAATAGTTAATCACGAAAGATAAGATACTATAGCCTGCTTTCACCACTTGCCTTTATGTAGAAGCGTTATACAGACTTGAGATGCGCATTAGCCTCTGTAGAAACTATTTGCCCTTTTCCACCTTCCAATATATGACCTTTAACTTTGTACAGGTTGATCACTCCACAATATGAAACTATGCCGGTAGGTCTTACCATAGTAAAGTAATTTGCCCTACGACACAAATCGCAGACCTTGTATTAAGCAATGCACCCATCACTTCGCTGGTGAACGCGGTAGACAATTTAGGCAAGACGTATCGCGGTTGTCTGGCCAGCCACTATCGCGAGTGGAGTTCTCAATGAAAAATATATATTATGCATGTATAGCGAATACTAAACGCATTTATTTCCTTGCCGCACGCTGTCGTTACCAATGAGCACCAATTGTATCACTGATTTTATTTACCTCGATTTTATTTAATATACGTGTTGTCAGCCACCATTTGCATAAGGAAAGCACCGGTGTTTCAGATCACTAGCAAAACAAATAATCAACAGTAATGTAAAGTCGGAGCATTGTAGATCATCTAGTAGATGTTACCATTACCTAATAATAAATTAGATGCTGCTTGGCACTTAATAATTAAACAAAAATACATGTTACTATGATTACCGGATAAATATTAAGCTGATACTTTTTCGCCGGTTAACCGCTACTTCAATACGTAGTGCCAATAGTGGCCGGGTTCCATCGCATGCCAGGAGCTTCAGATGGTGGCATGGTACGTACTTTAAACATGTTCCATGCACCGTTTCTAGCTTATCCTTTATGTGTTGCATAAATCACCTCACTCGGAACTAAATTGTGCTCGGATGAAGTATCGTCCGTACTAGTCATGTGCTTGCACTTCCAGTTCTGCTGAATTGCGTAGCGCCAGTGTGTTGTGGGTAGGAATCGAAATTGCCTGTTTGTTTGCAATGGTAAATCATTGAATAACGTGGATGTGCACGCAGGCACTTGTGCAATGTACACTACAAACTCATGGTTAATTGTAGCTCTCGCACGAAGTCAAAATTACTGTGGAATAACGCGATATTTTTTATTTACGTAAGCCAACATTTTAGCTTACAGATTGCCATAACTTAGTCACCAGTATAAATTCCAGGTAAATCACCAAATTGTGAACTGAAACTCAACACTAAGACTGATTCTAGGCGTTCCCATTCGCTAAGATTTCAGTAGCAAATTGTACACAGATAGACTTGCAAATACGAAAATCTACCTAGTTTTTGCGTATGAAAATGATATTACTAATAATTATTGATTCACAAGCACGCGCGGCACGCATGTGTAGTAATTAGGATTATGTTGAAGAAATTGTGGTTTTCCTCCGCAATTATATGCATATTGTCAGTTGCGTCCGTCCGACTGACGATCAGGCACTGAATAATTGGTAAATGAAATATAGCTGTTTGATCCAAAGTAACATAATTAAATGTAATAGCAACATTTGTACACAAATTAGCCTACAAATAAGTTAGGTGTAGATAATCAGATTAATTTGCATGAGCTCTGTTATTTTTCAAAACCAACCGTTGTCAGAGTTACCCATAACACTCAAACCCCTAACACCTATAACACTTCCAAACATCAAATTTCACTTAATAATATAAATAAATATCGAAAGCTGCACCTGCTAATTCAAAATATAGAAGAGTGATTTTCCACCGTATGTAAGCTTAAATGTGGCTTAAGAGACCGAGTTTAGCTTTATTCAATTATCAGGCAATGTTTATGGTGGTTTGTCTAAACATTGAAAGACAAGTATCTCAATAAATCTAACTTAAAACTAATTATGCTGAACTTAAAAGGATGAGCAACAACAATAATCTGGTTAAAACAGTTCACTCCGACTCATATAACTTACATTGTTCCAGTTGAATATATCCGTTGTATTCACAGCTCATATATGGTTTATTGAGTTCATACACTAGTTGGGCATGCTTTTCCAAATAGAGCAATTCATCGAGTTCGTAAAATGGTTCATGCGCTTCCAGTCGGTAGTAGGATAGCCGATTATTCTTTGGTTGAACCAAATCCCCCCTCATCTGCACACAGGATTTGTAAAATTTGCGAAACTCTGCACGCATCTTATGTATAACCTGAGGGGGTGGATTTGTGGAGAAGAAAAAGATTCACTTTATCTGTTCTATATACTAATCGTGTCAGAATAGATTCTGTAGAAAGTTCTAATCATAATACCCTACGCATTGAACTACAGAACATAGAGAACATGGAGTATTATAGGTTTTTTGCCCACGTTGGTAACATCCGAGATTGATGCGCATAGTCAAATATATGCGGATGATTTAACAGCGTTGATTATTGTCTGCTGTAGTCTATATGTCTTACAAGGGAATGGTCAATATCCAATTAACTCAACATAGCAAATTACATAACACCGAAGTGGATATCCTGCATTACCGTTAAACGGATATTTCAAGTAAAACGGATTTATAAGCCTTATACAAACAAGCTGGAAAATATTTAGCTGTCTATGTCCGAAATGGAATTAATATTCTGTTATTATTTTTCGAAAATCTTTGTTCTGCAATAAAATTTTAGCAGCGTCATCTTCATTTAACTTGTTTTATGTATGCTAATTTTCTATCTGGTGCTATCTCGAGCTGATATGGACAAGAATGACAAGTTAAAATATTCTGTTGCCAACGTAAATTTCTGTTCCATCACATGAGTTATTTTCTAAATATCAGCTCTCGAAATGAAAAGGTAGGTATTTATAAGAGCATAAATCTGAAGCTACATTAGCAATAGATTAACCATGAACAATGAACAATTATTTATCAAATGTAAAGAAGCATGTGTTTGTGAGGTCCCGCAAATTGGTTGGAGTAAAATTTAAACTTAAAAGGATTAACAAATAAGCGAATCCCTATTTTTCTCATCTGCCGATTTAAATGCATTACGACATAACGATAGTTTGAAGTGGGAATGGGATGTGTACACACAAAAAAGTATAGGTAGCTATTATAGTTCAATGTGCACAAAAAATTAAAAAGTAAACGCTAACGCTCTTTAGTTTGCTGTGTCCTTTGACAGATGCGTTTTGTTCATCCAGTTTATATATATCTATGCTAGTCACAAGGACCCTCTGCATGCTTCCTCATCGCCGCGTTGCGAAGAACGCGGTTTAGGCACATGGTTTGATTCAATACACCGCCATATTTTGCGAAATTTAGGTGACAATTAAGTGATTAACAGCATATCTTAGATACATTTTGATTACCGGGAACTAGTGTCGAGTTTAGGTGATAGGCCATTTTCGACACGTGTACGAGGTACCCATTTACAAACTCCCATTTGTTTCTAAGTAGAAGATTTGGCTATGATGAGCTCACCTGATTACATATATCCGTAGAACTGGGCCCAGAAAGGAAGGACACTAAAATGCAGGTATTTTTTGAGACGGTGCACAATGAAAACGAATGAACTGCTGAAAATTGGAAACAATTTTTCATACACCACTCTTGATGGCAATACTCGATAACACTAAAAAGAATCAAAAGCACAAATATGTTTTTGGTTTGAGGCCCTGATTATATGTAATTCAAAAGAGTTTCCATGAATAATCATAGGACTTAAATGTTGTCTTTTATTTTGGTGAAGTTACGAAAGGAAATCTACTGCTTCGGCATTCCGACAAAAGTTGCTTGGCAGCACAAGTATCTGTTTCAGTCGTGTGGCACAATTTGGTTTCTTTCGTTATAATGCAAAACAATTCATGTTTCAAATTAAACCTTAGGCAACATCATATTTATGTACTGCTGAATACATTCAGCTCTTTGGTCCAATTGCGAAATCCACAGAGATGATGACCAATTTTAATGGAAACTGAAATTGTTAAATTCTATTAAATTAGGCTTAGTTGCTTACAGCTGGCAGGTTGCCAAATAAGCGCTGGGAAAACTGAAGGGCGGGATAAATGCCTTAAACACACTAAGGGTTGATTGAGATTGTATACCAAAATTTAATGTTTGAAGCCGTCACGCAATTAAGATAGCTTAGCAAATGTAGTCTAAATCTTATTTTATTATTTGGTTCACCATTCAGCTAAACAATGTTTACATAACCCAAAAAATTATTTCGTATTATAAAGGTGATGTGAACTTACCTAACCGTTTATCAGCTGTTGAGTGCATTTGAAATGTAAAGCATGAATTAAAGGATTGTTCAGGGATTACGCTGCTGTCCCACGTTGAGTTAAATGCATTACGATTTAATTTGCATTTGGTATAAGTAAAGTAAATCGGAAACTCAGTTCATGGTATTGTGTTATACTAAAACGAAAAGCATTTCCATTATCAGCGTTTACAGATTTTAGAACCTTCAACCCGTGAAGTATAATGGAAGCATTTTTAATTCAAGTGGGGTCTAAAATATGCATTTGCATGCAAACTCAATTATCACATGCAGTTTAATTAGCAGATGATTCCAACGTACTGGACTAGGTAGAAAACGCTTGGAAAATAAGTTTGGAATTTCTGCTAAACCGCACAAAATCTAACTCACGACATATTTTCTCAAAATGTGTAAATAGATGAACGTACCACCGTCTTTCTAAGTTAAAGATACCAAATTTGAACGCAACAAACGAAGTGAACTGAATAAATGATGTATCATCAGTGAACGTCAGTTAATCAAATATGTGAATATAGGTATAATAAACGTACAAGTTCTCAGTATGCCAGCTGTGTGTACTGGTTCGTAGGTGATGCATCCAATCTTTCCAAAATTGAAATGGGCTTCCACCCGCAGAGCTATCTCGGCGTTACTCATCAAACTTAAGGGAATTCCATTCAAACTTCCTTGCAAATACATGCGGACCTCATGTATATTCACTTGAAGCTCCGTGTGATAAATAACGTCGCTTTCGCAATTAAGAATCCTGCTTAGCATGTAGGCATCACGACTTGGTTTAATAAGCTGCAGCAGAGTGAAGTCACGTATTAGGATAGAAATCATGCTGTTCTGATGTAGTAAATAGCTTGTCGCAGCCACATGTCTTTATCGGATATAGAATCTCTACTGTGCAATGTGGTCCACATGAGAACGCTTGCGAGCAAGACAAGAATGAGAACCGCACAGATACTTTTTGCAATCAATATTGCGTATCAAACTGCCAAAAATAATTTGTCCTAAAATGCCGTGAATCAAATGTGGGAACAGTAACTTTAATCGGTTTTGAATAGCAAGCATACTCACCAAAGCACAGCCATTCGTGACATTTATGTCACTCTTGAATTGTAGGTGTATATCTACTGTACAAAACAAAGATTCCTCAAAGCAATAAGTGATAGTGTAAGGCAAAATTTACATGTATCCTTTTTAATCTGTAAGCGTTATTTTAATTGTGTGCATTTATTTTACTTCTATGAAAACAAAACCATCCTGTACATTATATGAGCGACGCTAAATGCTTAATTTAAACAGTATCGTGCATTATTGTGGAAAATACATTGTGGAAAAATACATTTTAAACAAAGCACGCGGCCTTCGTACTGATGTATCTTTGCTTTATTTTAGACTAACAAGAAAGCGAGAAGTTAGAAAATCGAATCCTGATAAAATAATAGTAATCCATTCACCCTATATTGGCCGCGTGGTACTAATAGGTACAATATTGCCTAGAACAGTTTGTAGAGGGTGATAATGGTTAGTTAGAATTCTGAACGCAAAGTGAAATCATCCTTCAATCTGTTTGTTACCAATGAAATCAACGATAAATACTTTGCTTAATTTAGGCCATCGGAAAGCAACTTTCACTGAAAGCACAAGAAGAGCACAAACACGATAAAATGTTCCGTTGCAAATCGTAGAGAAATATACAATTAACGTGCGAGGATACATGTGCAAAACCTAGAATTAAAACAGGGTGCGGAAAGGATTTTGAGATTAAGGGAGTGAAATGTTAGTTATCCGACTGTAAAACCGTCAGAAATGTGCCTTTTTTTAGGAACATTTATGTCAAGAAACCTAGATGCTTTATGCTGGATGATATAGTGATATTTCGGTTAATGGCGACCAAAGAAGAGGAATTAATTTAGAAAAGGTTAACGTATCCGAGCCGTTAAAATAGCATATGACAACACAACACTTGCAATTTTCAAGGGAGACGCAGCAAGCCTAATACAAGTGTTTGCCAACTTCAGGTCATATTATTGAAACTCCGTCATTATTATGACCCTGAAAATAGTGGGTATGATTAGACATTGATGGTTAACTGTAAGTAGAGATGTCAGAAAACAGCTTCTTGCAAAATCGCAATTAGCCTCGACCTCGGTAGCATGCATAACCTACAGCTGCTTGACTTTCGTGTTATTTCCAAAACAGTCATGACATAGTATAGATGCGTGCGCGCGAACGCCATGTTAGAGCAAATGTTTTGTAACATCAATCTGTCCAGGCCCACAATGGCAATGGTATTACCAGATAAAAAAGCACTTGGTTACACAGATTTTCTTCAAAGCATACGCGAATAACTCTAAGAAAATGATTAACAGCATCCACAATAGAACGCCCTCTTCTTATTTTACAGACCATTCTTACTGTGTATTACACCATGCAGTTGCACTTGTTCGATGTTCCACACATGTGGTATGTACCCCCACAATTCTTAATGCATAGTAATCAGTTTTTCATATATACAACTGTGACTACCGGAGCTTAGCATTAGAGCAATACCACGCAGAGTGCATGACCCTAACACGGTAGCTCGATTTTGTATGCTGCGCTTTCGAGTTTTATGGATAAAACTACCCTGGAGATAATTTTATGAATAAACACGTGTAACAACCTATACTGCTGTCAACATTTTCTTCCAGAGCATTTGATCCTCACTTGCGTGGACCGTGGTAAATATGTCACCTTGCAGTCAATTGCCATCCGGTACTACTTTTTTTGAGAGATGGACAAAATGGTTGCTGTAACATTGGTCATCAAATCTACAAAGGTCTACCGTTCACTCCCTTCAAAGGCATTAGCTATTACCGAGCCCCTTGTCTATCAATGCCTAGCAAGTAACAACTTCTGATGAACCTACATTCGTTCGATTAAGTATTGCTTCCGCACAAGCCGTTTCTAACTCTGACGCTGACACCTATTTCATCAATATGCCTACCCAAGTCTGGATATTCTACACCTGATGGAAAAGGAATCCCTGCCTCATCTACTATGCTGACCATGAGAACACATCCCAGTGAAAAAAGTATGGGCCAAATGATAAGCCCCAGACCTATGTTGCAATGGCGAGCGCTCGATTATCAGCAACGCCAAACAAAGCTGTTGAAGGTGTCCTCAAAGTCCAAGAATTAATCAACCAAAACAAACACGTAGCTGAAGCCCATTCTAGAGGGAATGGCGCAGCCTAAACAATTTCTGGAAGAAAAGAAACGCTTACAAAATCCATTGTTAACGCAAATAAATAAACCGCCTGATCTCAACGCCTGTATGCTAAGCAAAACTTCCAGAAGTTAACAAAGTGACTCCAGCTAAGAGGATACTGGACAACTAAGCGTTCCTTGAATGAATGCTCCATTACACTGTTTGATGAAGATACGCAAGGGATAAATCTTATTTCCGTTATTCGCGTTGGCAGAAATTTACAGGACCCGTTTTGTTTGTCCACTGAAAATGGTCTGTCTTCGTGAAGTATGCCAGCGTTTCTTGAGACTGGCCCCGCTCCTCCAAGGAGAATATTTCTATGTCCAGAAAGACTTGTCCCCTTGTGACTGAGACAAAATAAGGCAAGCTGTATGCAAGCTGCGAATCCGAAGGTTATATTGAAAAACAGCTCTACACATTGTGTAGTTTCGCTTTGTAAAAGAACTCAGAGAGCTAGACGGGGGTCAGTTCTCCTCCACCCCAAATCTCGAAAATAAAGAACGAATTACAAGTAATAGATGAGACCATGCGTAATCTCAGAAGCAAGCTAGACCAACTTCCACTCTTTATCTCGGAGAAGCAATTAGATCTGCTAACATTCACAGAAACCTAACGGTCATCTGGGATATCCGACACAATGTTCATATTCCAGGACAGCAGCTCGGTACATGCGATCCGTTTGGTTAGTTGTATGGAGGCGTAGTGGACATGTTTACGAAGATATCCCAAATATCCACCTTGTCGTACCACAGTTTGAGACCGATGATTAGGCAAAAGTGTTCTGGTGTCGAATTCATAACGAATGCTGATCCCTGATGTTAAGAGTGGTATACAAAGCTCCTGCAGCACGGCTCAAAATTATTGCATTCTATGCACTCTATGCACATTGTATGATACAAACTATTTTCATGGCTGGCTTTAACAACCTGGCGTAAACTTTCAGAGTGATCTAACACCGGATACCTTCAAAATGTATCGCTTTGATACTCAAGTAGAATGCCCATTGGTTACATCAAGTTTTGAAAGATAAACAAAACATGTAGCTTTGAGAAAACAATTGTTTTCGTTTACTTCTTCCTCACGCTCATACAATAATATACATTAGGTTAACGTCCGTTGAAATCCCTGGTGTAAGAAAGTAACAACTAATCAGAAAGTTAACTTGTGATCATGATGATATTCATCTGCTCACATGACTGAAGTCAGGTGAATTTGCGGAAAACCATTATTTCCTTCATAGCTGGCCGACCACCGCGGAGTACCAAAGCGATTCAAGAACGAGCATTATACTTCGCAAAAGAATTGTAAACACAGACTTTACCTCGTCAAACATATGGCTACAGGCTTTCATCAGTAGACCATCTTGTGTTTGGTAAGCAATTGAGCGACAGCGATGACTCAGGTAAGTGTGCAGCATCCGACTAGGCGGAAAAATTGCCCGAAATATGTTCCGGCTACACAGCTCAAGACATTTTTAATTCACTCGAAACTGCTTTACTATTCAAAACGACGTCCGAAAAAGGCTTATTGTAAAAGGATAGAAATACCCAGGTGGGAAAAGAAGCAACGTGGGTATAACAGTTACGATATGCACTACTACATTCGAGGAGCGAAAACCGGTTGCAATGCTTTGGAAATCAGCCAACATACGAAGTTTAGAAATATCTACATGAAAAACTACCGGCAAAGATCCTAAAAAGACATTTCCAAAGAGTTAGCAACAACATACAGAAAAACGCAACGGGGACCTGCTAACCTATCAATTTTAACAGCTGAGGATGTGAATAATGAATCAGAGTACTAGCAGGAACAGGGTTCTACAAAGGTTCTGAAAACGCATACACGCACAGACGCACAGGGTAAATCTGATATTTCCCGCTCCTACGCATTACATAGCAGACACGCTTGCATGCTTGCACTTCTTTTGGACGTTAGAGAGAAAGTAAATTCCCTTCATTGCAATTACCAAGCAGCAGGACACTTTATTTGATATCGTTTCATCTAGTTGATAATAAGTACGACAATAGAAACATGTGCATGATTTTTGTACGTTGTGAATTTCGACAATATGCAGGTCAGTTTCTAACCGTTTGACTCAGTCTGTGAGATTATCGCATTATTATTACTCATCTATCGTACATTATACACCACTAATGAGATTGCAAATGACGGCGGCCTTGGTAGTACGTTCATGACAAACAACCTCGCCGGGGTTCTGCAAGTAAATTAATAGTAAATTACGAACAGATTACAATTTTAACAACCTAACTGTATGAAGAGGAGATTTCTGCAGTGTCAGCAGCAGAAACAAAGCAACCAAATTAACTGGACCTAAACAGCACACATCAAGCATCAATGTCTTTCAATTTCCAGAGATGGAGCAGTCTCGTTGCAGAGGAACATGCTCATGGTTGTCCGTAATTTAGTGTTCAAGTTAGTTGACGTATT